TGAAGTTATAATTGGGTATTTTGTCATTGTGATGATTTTTGTGTGGATGTATGTTGAGACAAAAGTCAATCATGTTGTGGTCACTGTTGGAAAAGGGTTCTTTAATTTGTATTCCATAAATTGAATTCAAACTATTGCAGAAGATGAGATTGAGGCAGTTGTTAAGCCTAGTATTGTTGGTTACTAGCTGTTCCAGTCCCAGATTTGTTACAGCATTGTAGAGGGTTGCATGTATGGGTTCAGTTGTACATTCGTTTAGGGTCCAGTTAATATGAGGTAGATTGAAGTCACCAAGAAAGATAAAAGCGTGTGGGCAGGATGTTGCCCATGTTAGCAGTATATTTAACTTGTTTACATGTTTGATATCATAATCAGGGGCTCTGTAACATAGTAAGAACCAAAATGTGATATTTAAGGTCAGTTCACAGATAATGGTCTCAGGAAAAGCATTCCCTGTATTTTGCATCAAGCTGAACAAAGGATAGATTTAACAGTTGTAGTAGGTGGAGGATGATCTGCAGACTAAACAATCTTCCTTCCCTGTTCTTTCTTCGCAGTATTTTGAAAGTTTGTGATTTAGGCACCTTAATTTTCTTGGCCTAGTAAATTATAATTTCAGGTGTTTGGTCCTAGAAGATTACAGAATTCCAGACTTTGCTGGTCATGCTGCTGATGTTTTCCCAGCAGAAATGCATAGAAGAAAAGTTGCTGTGGGCTCAATGTAGTCCTGATGATATAATCAGGAAAAAAAAATGCAATTTTAAAAGAATCCTATCTTAGGCACAAAGCCATTTGGGTAACCTTGGGCCTGTCACTCTCTCCATCCTAGAGAAGAGACAGTGGCAAATCATTTCTGAAAACTTTTCCAAGAAAACCGAGTCAGGGAGAGTCAGGTTCAATTCAACCAAAGGGGGAAAAAAAAAGATTGAAGCCGTTTACATTAGAAGATCTGTCTGCTGCAATTCACAGCAATCAATGTATGGCTTTGTGTACATATGCATATATGTACAATATCTTTTTAAAAATAATAAAGGTAGGATATAAATAAATAAATACACATACACTTTAGTGCTTATACCAAAGCCTTCTTCCTCCCAACATCCAAGGCAACAGACATGTCAAGGTTGGGGATGGGAGTGGGACAACAGCTAAAGGTGATAAATCCTGATACTGTATAAAGTTTCCCTTGATGGTTGCTGCCTTTCCAGCTTTATTCCTAACAGTTTGTTATAGTATTTATTTATTTATTAAATGTATATGCCTTGCTTTGCATCTCTAAGGTGACTCTGCCTGTCGGACAGATAGCATTCGTTGTTTGGAGTCAAGATCACTCTACAAATTAATTCTGAGAACTCTTTACTTTGCTTCCTCTTCTATACTGAGTCCTTTTCTTTCTAAAGTTCAAAAGTTATTATTGGTGGTTAATCATTTGAATTGAAAAGGGAAAAGAAACCCTTTTTGGAACCTTTATTCAATTGTTGTTGTTTTTTATTAACAAGTATTCGTTCTTTCACTTTGTTTTGGGAAAATTATACGTGTTGACACTTCAAGCTAACACTGGTTGATGATTTACCCTGATATTCACCTTTTATATGCCTACTGCCCTTAATAGGCACTATTAATAGGCATATTAATTCTAGGGGAATCTGCTTGTTTTGTTGCTGGTTAGACAAGCTAGACAGAAATGAAGATAATTAGGCAATTCACCTCATGGAACTTTGCATCATTAATCAGAGCCTTCTTCATATTATCTTCTAGAATCACAGGGCCATTACTGAAGCCGAAATCATACTGCAGATACAGGTATCCATTTTGCATCTCCAGGCTGAAAAACATACTCTGCATAACCCCAAAATTAGATTTTTCAGAAAAGATTGGATTTTTTAGAGATTAAAAATGTATATTTTATACTCTTTCTCAGCTGATAAATCTATTAAGACTAATTAATTACCATTCTGCTTCCCATTATGATAGTCCTTGAAGCAATTTACAATCAACAGGCAACATTCAAATTCAAGGAATAATCTAAAGCAGTATAAAATGATATGAAAATAATATCCAAATAACTTCAAATAATCAGTTGGATCTTCCTCAGAAACAGAATTTAAATAATTTACTTCTTGCTATATCTAAACAGATATAAATCAACAAGATAAAAACTCATAAAATGTGTAATTTCCCCCCCTTTTTACTTACTCCATTAACCATCAGAAGGAGAAGACCATTATCACTTGGTGTTCGAATTTCTATATCAAAACGAGTCACAAGACCAAACTTCCCTCTGCTCTCAATATTCTTTGCCAAAGCATAACCTGAGCCATCAAAGAAGTAGTTTACAACTCGGCTCTGGGTAAACGCCAGTTTATCTCTAACATGAAGGAAAAAAAGACATAAAGAAATATTAGGAAACTGGACTATATTCTACATGAGGGGTGTCAAACTCAAGGCCCAATGGGATGCTTAAATCCGGCCCATGGGGCCGGCCTGGAAATATCAAATACCTGCAGTGCCTCTGGCGGCTAAAATGATCTGCATGTGGCCCTCTGTGCCTCGTTTTCACCCTCCATGGCCTCCTGCATTACTCTGCCAGCCGAAAATGGGCCAAAAACAGCCCCCCCCAGAAAGGACAAAAAATGGGCTTCATGGCCCATTTTCAGCCAGCAGAATGCTATAGGAGGCCATGGAGGTAATAAATGAGGTGCATAGGGGCTGTACATGGACCCTCCATGCCCCATTTTGGCCGGCATGGTGCTGCAGGAGGCATTGGTCCTGCCCCCCCGCCACCGCCAGCCCGCAGAGAACTACAATGCTGATCCAGCCCTCAAAGAAATCCAGTTTGACACTCCTCTCCTACACTCTGGAGACCTAAGATAAAAACCAGATTCAGATGGAACAAACTGACATAATTGATCTGAATGGCAATTGATTATCTAGTCTGGCATTCACTGTATGGTTTAGGAGATATACTTCTGAAATGTTTACTGGAAAGGCAGGATTAGTCCTGCTGTTAAGAGAGCCTGAGACAAATGACCCAGGTCATTTTCTCTTTTCCTATTGGGGGGCAGAATTGAATAGCCCCAGGGCATGTCATAAACTATTTACCACTTTGGGTATGATAAAATAGAAAGAGAGTGCCATTTTGGTTTTCACTCTAGGATCTTATTTTCATTCATTTTGTATTAAATACTTTTGACTTTGGAAAAGCCTAAAAAAGGTTAACATAATTTTTGATAGATCTTAAACATGCCGAACTGAAAGGGATGTGTACAAACTAATGGAAAGAATTATCAATGGGTGCCTTTTGAATAAAACAGCAATGTCTTAGAAATTAAAACAAAGAATGATCCCATTCCCATAAAATCTAAATGTATTGGTCAGGAGTTATGTGAGCCTAGGTAAGATATAAGCCAATCGGAATTTTGAGGAAAGCGGTAAACAATCAGACCAATGAGCATGTTGTCTCACATGGAAAGTTCTCTTGATCTCCTAAGCTTGGCCATCAATGCAGCCTGTCTCACACACCTGTACTTTATGCACCTGTGCAGCCTCTCACTTTCTTTTCACCCCACTATATTTACATCTGAAATGTTTGAAGTTATTGGTTAAGAATTAAACATTGTATAGCCCTGCTCACCAAAGCAGAGCATATATTAGTTTTGATTGTTGGGGCAAACATCTACCTTTTGTTGAATTAATATTTGTTAACTGTGAAATGGCTTTTGATTGCATGGTAGAGATCAGCCAGTATTTTGGATGCATTACTGCATGGTTGAGATCATAGCTGCTGGAAGTTCAAAAACATGGAGTATCAGTATGATCTCCTGTGTCCAGATACTTTGGGGACTCCAAAATCATAAAACACTCTGGATCTGTCTGGCCACTTGATAAGTCTTATTTTTGGAAATGATTATACCCAAGGTAAAAGTACTTTTATTGATTGATTGAGGGATTGATTTGTTCAGGCTACCCAAGATGGATCAACTTACCTGATACAAGGTATTGGTTTGGTAACATTATAGATGTTTTTGAAATTATACAGACTAATGACATCATCATTCAGCGTGGCAAGTTCTAAGCATCCAATAAAGCCAGGCAAGTCCAAACTTGGAGGGGCCTTTAAAGAGAGTATACACATAATTCAGATTAATCTCATAAGCCTCACAGGTTTATTCTTTAGTTTAGTGAGCAAAAGCATATTTTGCAACTTCTCCTTCTGCTTGTTGAATTATTTAAACTCAATCCATTCATATGTAGACTAAACTGATAAGGCCTATTGTTTTTGCTCTTAGTTACTGATCATTTCCTCATTACTTGCAACACTGATTTAGTGCCCTTTCAACTCTATCACAAATACACATGTTTTGTGTGTGTGCATGTGTGTGAGATAGCATATCTATCTATCATACATACATATACATATATAAGTGCACATATATAATATACACCAGAGGTGGTATTCAGCAGGTTCTGACCAGTTCTGGAGAACCAGTAGTGGAAATTTTGAGTAGTTCAGAGAACCAGCAAATACCACCTCTGACTGGAAATTTTACAGTACCCTACCCCTGCCATGCCCACCAAGCCACGCCCACAGAACCAGTAGTAAAAATATTTGAATCCCACCAATGATATGCACACACACACATCACACACACACACATTTTTCTAATTCTACCTCAATACCTATATCAATGATTAGATAACCAATTTCTAAAAATAATTAATTTATCTATTGTTTAATTGATTGATTGTTTAATTGATCAGTGTGATTAGAGTGTTTAATGGAGACAGTGTGTACTGATTAATATTAAAAAAATCAGGCTTAATGTAATTTAATTGATTAGTAAAATTAGTGATTCAGTGAATTTAATTGAACAGTGTATTTAACAATTAGTGTAATTAATTAATTAGGCTGATTGTTGCTTAGCATAATTACTTGACTAGGGAGATTATTGTAATTGATTAATTGGTATGATATTGGCTATATTGATTACCCAAAATTGTTTTATTGAGTAATTTAATCAATGTACTATCTCAACAAACCCACCATGCCAGTAAAAAAATCCAATACCAAACCACAACCTAAAAAAAAAAAATCCCCACCAATGAACCACAAGACTCCTGCACATGCTTTATATGCTCTGTAACTCTAAAGGTTAATGAAAATTCCATCAAATGTTCTCTATGTGAAAAATACGCTCATCATGACTGCCTGGAATTACCCAAGCAAATGACTCAATTCCTAAAAACATCCAATTATGCATTTCCATTTTTCTGCCCACCATGAAAACCCAAACTGAACAAACATATAGCCCTGTTTGAAAGAGTTGACTCTATAGAAACGCGAATATCATCCCTTGAAACCACAGTAGCATCCCTGGACACTTTAAATGAAAGATTAACTAACCTTGAAAAAAAAAAGAAGACACAACACAAAAACCTGAACATCCAATAGCTACAAACCAACAACTGCAACCTAATCCACAAAAAAACATAAATCCTCGTCAGAGAAGCTGTTGAGTGCGAACGAAAGCATCCTAACGCCATCTTATTTGGTCTAGAAGACATTAATAACAATGATGATATCACAATTGTCCACAACATCATCAGTGACTATCAAGCATCAACTATCTCCCCTGATGAAATACTTGACATTTCTCGCATTGGCCGAGAGCTCAAAAACAGAGATGGCTCTGTGGCCCCATGCTTCTGCAGCGTCATTTGCAAAAATGAATTAAGCAAACATAAATCCATTTATACTATAAATTCACTCGCCAAAAACAACACCAACCATAAAAACCTCCGATGTCATACTGACCTAACCTTACAGCAATGTGCCTGCTCCGATATACTATGCACAAAACTCAAAAGTCGTCTAGACAATGGAGAGGAGGACTTGTACATTGATTACCGTGCAGACTGTTTCAAAAGAAAGTCACACAACCCACAACTCAGCATCCAAACCTTCTTCAACCAATCCACCATCACCCAAGATTAGGCACGCATGCCCCCAACTATCTCAATTCAAACTACAACTGGCCTTAAATGCAAGCTACTCAATGCAAGAAGCCTTGTAAATAAAATACCTGAATTTCTCCTCTTACTAAATATGGCTAAATTCAACATCATATTTGTCTGTGAAACATGGCTCAACACATCTCTCCCTGACTCCATTACCTCAATAAGGGACTGTCATGTTTACCGATCAGATTGTGAAATCCGTAGAGGAGGTGGTGTTGCTATCTTCTATAAAAAGTTACATCTAAATAACATCCAAGTTACCCAAGAGCTTGCTCTTCCTGAGACCATTATCTGTGAAGTGACCTTAAATATCACATTTTGGTTCTTACTATGTTACAGAGCCCCTGATTATGACATCGAATATGTAAACAAGCTAAATACACTACTAACATGGGCAGCATCCTGCCCCCACACTTTTATCTTTCTTGCTGACTTCAATCTACCTCATATTAACTGGACCCTAAACGAATGTACAACTGAATGTACAAACGAATGTACAACATACATGCAACCTTCTACAATGCTGTAACAAATCTGGGACTGGAACAACTAGTAACCAACAATACTAGGCTTAACAACTGCCTCAGTCTCATCTTCTGCAATAGTTTGAATTCAATTTATGCAATACAAATTAAAGAACCCTTTTCCAACAGTGACCACAACATGATTGACTTTTGTCTCAACATATGTCCACACAAAAATCATCACAATGACAAAATACCCAATTATAACTTCA